ATTAAAGATTTAGGTATGAATTTGAGTAGGAATAATTAAGTCAGTCAAAGTCTGATACAACACGATTAACCGACATGAATTAAACAGGTTTGAATGAGACATTAATGAGTTCGGGTGATGAACAAGTTGACCTGTCAGACACGTTTAATTAATGAGTCGTGTTCGAGTGAGTTCTGTCAACCCATTTATTACTTGTTTAAATAAAACTGATAAAATAATAAATTAATAATTATTTTTAAAAAAATTAGCCAAATTTTTTTTTAGTGAGTCATAAAATATATTATAAATTATTTTTAGTGACAGCCACATAATTTTTTTTTAATTTAGTGACTGTCACATAAAATATAATAATAAATTATTTTGGCTTGTGGGTTGTACTTTTGTAATATGTGATATTTCTAAATATAACATTTTTTTATATTAATTTTATAAAATTATATAGCATTTTTAAACTCCACCGGCAAATGGGTCAATCGGGGGGATTTACCGTGTTAATTTGACCCTACCCAAAATACGATTCGTTTAAAACTAAATAGGTTAAACGAGTTGTGTCGTATTTTCCATTTATTAAACGGTTCGTGTGTGTGTTGAGACTTTTCACCCGTTTATTAAACGTGTCGTGTATGAGTTTACATGTTTTTTACCTGTCACCCGTTTAACTTAACACGTAATCATTTAACCCGATACGTTTAGCACCCTTAAGAATGATAGTGGAATAGGGAAGGGGCTGACGGAGTAGTCTTCACCCCTATACCCGCTTAAAAAATATTCGTCTATTTCCAATCTAACCCGATTAGTAGGGAAAATGCTAATTCTTGTCCCGCCCCATGGATAAATTTTGATCCCAGTTTTCGTCTCCCGTCCCCACTCATAACAATTAATTTATATTATTTTAAAAATAAAATTAACAAAAAATTATAAAATTTCTCAAATTGATTTATAAGAAGGATGAAAGCTTATTATATACTAAATGAATCAAACCTAAAAACTCACAAAAAATTATATTTATAACAAATATGTGTTTTACTTAATTATTTTATTTTATATATTATAGGTTTAGCAAGCACGGAGAGGGGAGGGGCAGAGGCAAAGGCAGAGGAGAGTTTTAGTCCATTCTCGCCTCCATCTCCACACGAGTTTATATGAGTATTTTTGTATACGTTCATCATATAATACATATAATTTATCTTTGGTCTAAATCGGACAGATTTGAACAAATACATATTTTTTTCCGGTTCATTGTCATTCTTAAATTTGAGCCTCCCTTAATTTAAATTAAAAAATGTGTTTTTTCGTTTAATATTTTTAAATGTTAAAAGATTTTTAAGATTTTTTTTATTTAAATTTAAATTTAAATTTAGATTAAAAAAGAATAAAGATCGGAGATGCTTTTCCCGTTTACTTTACGTGATTCCAAAGTTGATTTCTCAAACCTGGCAGTTTGGCATATGTTAAACGTTTGATTCCAGTATTCTCCTCCAACAGTTGAAAAAAAAAAATTCTCCTCCACCAACAAATGTCCGCGTATGCTTTTTCATCGAATCTCAACCAAACTTCATGTCTAAACCCCAATCGATCAATTCATTTCTCCCCCACTAACTCAATCATCCCCAATGGCAGAATCAAAGCCAGACCCATCATCAAACTCTTCACCAGGTACAATACAATCTCTCCCTCCAAGAACTCTAGATTAGATTGCCCATAATTTTGATCTCCCCTGATCAACTCTTTCTTTCAAAACCAACCCTTTATTGCTAATTGCATATATGTGTAGCGTGCATGAATTCTAAAACTTGAAGAAAGGAAGTGGGCGAACTTAATTGGGAAGGCAAACGTAATGATGTTAAAAATCCGACCCTTGATTGTCCATAATTTGCATTCCCCAGATCAGCAATTTTTTTCAAAAACCAACCCTTTTGTGCAATCCAATCAAATGTGTTGTGTGTGTGTGTGTGTGCAGGCAAATTTTCTGATATAGGTTATATATGTAATGTGGGTGTGTGATACTTTGATGGTATTGGTGGCAGATAAAGGTGTAAAAGCACCCAATTTGTTCGAGAGGGCAAAGGAAGAGATTGATGCAATGTTGCATTTTGAGAGGCGCTCACATCACCACCACAAGGAAACTCATGGACTTCGCAATGATATTGATGAGAACACCCCCATTACAGATCTGAAAGCTCCAAATGTGTTTGAAAGAGCAAAGGAGGAGATTGAGGCTCTTGTTCAGACAATTCATCCCAAGAAAGACTCTAAACCTTCACATGATGAAACAAGGTTTGGAAACACTTGACAAAAATAGGATTGAGAATTGACCCACAAACTTTTGTGGGATTTCAGATGAGTTTTTATTGTTTTTGCACATGTAATTGCAGGGATGCTTCTACAAAATCAGGGCCAAGACCAGAGAAGTCAGATTCGCATTCAGGTTAAATTTTTCATTTTCTTTATCTAAGATAATTTCTTCTGACCTATAACCATAATTATTTGATATTGTGATTGGTTTATCATCATTCTTATTTCCTCATATAAGAAAACCAACCCTTTTTGTGTAATTCGATATTTATGTTGTTTGTTCTTTCATTGAGACTTATGGATGGACACACTATAGATACAAGCAATTATAGTCTATAGACCCAGGAGGTTGGCTTTTTTTTTTTTGGTTGGGGGTGGGGGTGGAGGTGGGGATGACAAATATAAGGAAATGGAAAGAAATTTGGGGAAGGGTGAGAAACTCTAATTCTGAGGATTACTTGGTGAATACTATATCCTACTTAGATACTTTTCAATCCTTACCCTTCACCTTTACCCCTGGTTTTATCGTTGCATTCGGGCAAACATTGCAATTTTATTGTTGCGTTTGAGCAACTTTGCACTATATAGCAGAAAACTATGTTAGGGAGGAGGAATTCCTTGGGGCATGAAATATTTGAACATCCCTCCCTAGAAGGAGTGTGCAGGAGGCTTTTGCAAGCCAAATGTAAAACTTGCATAAGAAAATGAATAGAGATTAGTTGCACTTTAAGGTTACCTCTCTTATGGAGGCACTTCCATTCTTGTTTCCGGCTCCAAAATGTTTTAAGAATGTTATCCAAATTTGTGTTGGTGGCCATTGTGCTAATAATGCATTATTGACCATTTCATAAATAGAAGAAATGGAGAAGGAAGAGTTAGTCCTATGTTTGCTTCCAGAAAGCCAATAAATCTGGGGCCAACTGTTATTCTCTGTCTCCTATTTTTAGAGCTTAAACAAAAACTTGAAATGATGACCCAAAAAAAAAAAAAAAAACTTGAAATGCATGCTTTACTTAATGATAGAAGGATCATGTCATTTGTTCCCTCGAATGCTTTAAAGGTTAGTTCCAAGATCAACCCTTCAAGGGCTTAATCCATAGGAAGCTTAAACCACCACATGAAACATAAGGACCGATCTCAACAATTCTCTGCACTACCAGTATGTCTGACAATGTTGTCTTGGGTTTCTAAATCTCTAAGTCGTGTTATTTCAATTTGCTCAATCCATACGCTACCCTTTTATAGTGTTGTGTATAGTTAGTTTTGTATCGTGTGTAAGTCTTGTTTAATCGATTTCCTATCGACCCTTTTGTTAAACAGGTTTGATGGGTCAAGCCATTTATGAATTGACCCGGTAAGTTTAACTATGCCCGTTAACTTTGTCCAAATATCATGTTAACTCCATCTTAACATCATGTCGGGTGGGCAACTGAACTGCCTACCCTAACTGCCAGATTATTAAAGCATTGCTCCACCTGTGAATGATCCTTCATAAAAGTTCTACACTCTTATTTTCATGCTTGAGCTTCGATGGTTCGAATTTATAACCTAGTTCATGTTCTGTTTTTAAATTGGCAGGGAAGGATGCAAAGGCACACAATCTAATCGAAAGAACAAAGGACCAAATAGAAGGAATTATGCACAAAGAGAAAGTACCACACCATAATCACAAAGAAACTCATGGAAGGAGTGATGACATTGATGAGAACACCCCTATTGAGGAAATTAAAGCCCCAAATGTGTTTGAAAGAGCAAAGGAAGAAATCGAGGCCCTTTTTCAAACAATGCATCAAAAGAAAGAGTCCGGCAATGGTGTTTCCTCAGCTAAGAAGGAAGGTGGTAAATTCACTATGTCCATTGGAAGAGGGTTGGAAAGAATATGCTCTCCTCGGGGTCATAACAAGGATCCACATAGTTGAAAGGTCCATATCTCCTTTTCAGTCGTCGTCATTCCATTGCCAGCTTGCTTGCTTCTTTTTTTCTGCGTGTATATCGGTTAAAAATTCTAGTTTTCCCTTTCAATTATTGTATATTACTTCATGATGAAATTCTTATGAAATTGTGCTTAGTTGACTGCATTGTGTACCAACCTACCGATGACATGAATCAAGCGTAGTACTGACAAAACTTCAACTACTTGAAACTCTCAACAAAAGTTCAACTACTTGAAACACTGATCTATCAAACTTTAAACATATACATTGCATGAAATACAGACGTATATACAACCATCCTACTTATAAACTTGTAGGCCAACAGTAAATTTGCACATTGTGAGAGGCGTAAGCCTCTACAGGGATAGACAAGAGGAAAGGTGGTACTGAGAATAAACATAGGAGTCAAAAGAGCAAAATCATATTTTCATCGGGGTTGGCAAGTTGTTGGCTGCACCTACGCATGGATGAACTTCAGTGTCTATCTTATGATCTATCTGCAGCTCTTAGTCTTCTCTTCCCTGTTATAGAAAATCAAGTAACATGAATTATCATTACAGGTAACATAATTCACAGTTACCATAGTTGGGTATGTATATAGAATTGTTGTAGGATAGTAGGTTATATGAGATTCCCATCACCATAGTCTTAACCATGTGGAAAGACTGTTTTTGTGACTCGAAACTTAATGTCACTATGAAACAATTTTCCAGCTATGCCAAAATTCATGTTTAATGCTATGGAGAAATGGGCAAGATTATACCGATGACATTATGGTTTTGACTCGGGACAATCCACTTGCTCCCCCAGATTCACATTCATACCCCAATCGGGTGCCCTTGCAATCAAATCTTCCAAATCACAAACAATCTTGGACTGGTGATTGGCTAGTTCTTTTACTGTGCCGTCCTCATAAATCAAATCATCCTCCATGAGTTCCTCCCACAGCACAAAATTTTCAGAAATCGAATCTGGACTACTAATCCCCGAGAATTCGTTGGCATTGTGGTCCTGAACAGGGCTGCCTGAGTCATCTGAGGAAAACAGTGTCTGTATTTCTGACTGGAATGTTGTTAACTCTTCCTGAACTTGGTTCTTGGCAATGGTATCCATGGCCTTCACCAAGCTTTCGTTGCCCGGTGGCGCCATCAATCTTCGTTTCTTTGCAATTTCAGCGCCACCCAGTTCAATCTTGTGCCTCAACTGGTGGGAAAGTTGGTGAATAAAAGTTGGGTTCCTAAAAGCTCTGGCCATAAAGAGTATCATCTTTTGCTGCTTACATTCAGTACTTTGTACATGCTCTTTCACAGTGGCCAAACAGCTATCTGTGCTCTCTTGTTGCTGTTTAAGCTTCAGAATTTCCATTTTCAGTGTGTTCTGATCATTCCTCAGTTTCTGAAGCTCTGTCTCAACTCCAAACTTTGTGGAATCAAGCTGCCATTGTTGTGCTGGTCCTTGAAGCTGCATGGTTTGGGGCTGTTGCTTTCTCCTCTTGATGTTCTTCAGCAAATGTTTCTTCCCTTTTTGAAACCCTTCATTGGAAAATTCCCATCTATCCGAATTGATCTTTCTGAAACGCTTTAACAACCCCACCAGGAAATGACTATTTAAATACAAAGGTATTTGGGAAATCCGGATACAATAACACTCCAATGCAAAGTATAAGATTACAGAAGGTTCCATTAGGCATTAAAGAAAAAAAATATTGATAAAGATACACACATACGTGCATATAGAGTAGAGAAATTAAAGAATTGTAGATTGATACTGACATAGGTGTTGAGTTGGCGAATGAAGCTGGAGAAGTTGTTGTGTTTGAAGTGTTTGGGGAGAAGATATGTAGAAAACTTGTGAGGGTCCCAAACAACGAAGCTGGTACGAGTGGAACTCCATGATATTACGGAGTCTGTTTTTGGGTCATCCACCATTTCAAAGGTCTTCTTCAAGAAGGGTGGTGGACCAACCTCATGTATTCCTTCCATTGGTCTTGGAAATGAAGAAAATACATCACCACCACCACATCCTTCTTTACCACCAGAAGCTCCACCAGTACCACCACCACTAACACCTTCAATAGTGTCATCTTCATCAAGAACTATTATGGGCTCTTCCTTGACTGTAACAGCTTCAACTGTTTTCCTCCCCTCTAGGAAACCACCTCCCGCACCACCACCACTGTCATCCTCAATCACAGTCATGCTTTCCTCTTTAACTGTCACTCCTGCCATGAGTGCTAGAACCTAGATTATGTGTGTTTAGAGATTTCCAAGTGATTATGAATTCACCACAGTGACCATGGGAGGTGTAGTTTTCTAACAGGAGGGCTCATGCGTATAGATTGTATATATGTTGAGAGAGAGAGAGAGAGAG